CCCCTTTGTAAAAAGGCTAAAAGCAAATTTATTTTGAAAACCATGACAAAGGATCAATCACCCAACCTAGGGGATTGATCACCTTGCTCAAAGGATCGATTGGGTGCTTTACTTGATCAATCAGGTCATACTTTTCACACAATGTTTAAGCTTTCAAAAGCATAAAACCAGTCGATCCCCTCCAATACAAAATCAATTGGTTTTGTCTAGATAAGCTTAAGCAATCTCATTTTCTTAAAGTTTTGTAGATATTCAAAGGAAGCAATGACTAGAAGTAGCTACAAACTCATTTCCTCTATAAGTTAGGCATTTCAACACACCAAGAAGGTAAAAGAAACAAAATAGCAAGCACCAACAAGTTATACATTCATTTCTCTCAAGAAATCAAGAGTTTTCAGAGGTTAAATTCCATATATTTGTATTTGATCTTGTATCCAAATTATTATTGTATTCATTCATCATTTTCTTTATACTTCATTATGTAGCCACTCAACCTTAGAGAGGTATTTTAATTTGCAAAATCATTTAGGTTATTTTGTAAGTAAGAGGTAAGGTATCCTTTTGATTTTATAAGGATAGAAGTTGCTATCTAAGCTTTAGAAAAAGATAGGGATTTAGTACAATATAGGTTTGTATCTTATAAGAGTATTATTCAATTTAGTAAATTGAAATTTCAGTGTGGACAACTAAAAGAAAAGACGTAAGTACCTTGTGGAAAAGGACCAAATCTTTATAATTTCCTGTGTTTGATTCCTTTATTTATATCTCTTTACTTTGATTATTGTTTATATTTGTTTCAAGTCATAATTTATTATTTTTTGTATCATATTTTGATATTAATTTTAATCTTTCATTCAATTATATTGAAATCTATTTTTAGGAGTATTTTGGAGAAATCCAATTTACCTTCCCTCTTGAATCACCATCTTCACCTAAAAAGCTAACTGACCCACATTAACCAATTGTATTTCTTATATCAAGAAATTTAAATTGCTCATAATTTTTGTTTGCTTACTAAACTAAGTGTATGTATTTTGACCACTCCTTTTGAGATATTTGACTTTGATGTATCTTTTTGGAACTTTAAAAAATTAAGTGCTATTGGGTGAGATGTTAATAAATAATGCGTATCTCGTTTAATCATTATAAGTATGATCTTTCCTTATGCGATACTTAAACCGAATGTTCTCACTAGATTAATAAGTAATTTATTACGCTCAAACCAAGTGTCTTGAATTTTATGGATAATTTAATATTTTCATTCAATATTTTATTTTATGTATCATGTACCAAAAATAAAAATTTCACAAATCAATAATGATACATAATGTCAACATAGTCATAAGAAAAATAAATCAAGTCAATAATTTTAAACTCTAATTATTTCATATAAATAATAATTCAATATTATCTAACAATCAAATAAATTTATAAAATAAATTATCAATTTAATACTACCGATATCAAAACTTCATGGAATTTGAACCTAACTTACCTTTCAAAATAATGATTGTTACATTTTAAATGGATAGTCAAATATTAATAAAAAAATTTTATTAAATTTATTTAATTATGAATATAAAATTTATGTATCATGTAAGGAGAATACGTACTTTCAATAAGCTTCTAACATATCAAACGGTTTTGTTTATAAAATAAAATAATAAAATTTATGTACATAAAATATAATAATTATTTAATTATACATAAATATTATATAATAAATATTATATACTATTTAAAAATTTCATAAAAATAATAAATTAATTATTCACACAATCAAAGAGAAAAAAAATAAATGGCGTCGAATACAGAGCTTAAAAGAGCTCTCACGCACCTAAACTCTCCACCAGGAATGGATCAAAACTGATCAACAAACGGACTTTCTTCAATCTAGTGGGGTCATTATGACCCGATTGGTTTAGCAATGGACCCACTCGGGTCTACTTGTAATTCACTGCCAAAATTTTAAGGCTTTAATGCCTTTTGTTTTTAACGCACAAAACATCTTGACATGACGTGATCCGTGTTTATTTTATTAAATTCATGCTTTAAAGTGACTAAAAGTACTCGAAAGCAAAATCAATCACCCAAAAACTTTCAGGTTTCATACCCATTGAAAAGTCGATACAGTTTCTTGATTTTCTTAACCTGTTATTCAATATCTAGCTTAGATAAAATCACCCTTTCAATTGTTTCTATAGCATTCTCACTGGCATGTTTATTGTCCATAACAAAGTTATTAACTGAAGAGGGCTTCAAAGAATCCACTTGGTTAAAAGTAATTTAACACTAATTCCAGCAGTTTTATCATCTATCTTATCCAAGATAATGTGTTGCCCAACATCAAAGTACAGTAAAATAGAAGTCATTTGGAGCTCTTTATATGATGATTGCGGATTATTCAAAGTTTTTTGAGTTATAATGCAATTAATCGCTTATTTGTAAGTATAATTTTAAATTATAAAAATTATATGTTAATATTAGAATATCAAATTTGTACAATAGCATACCTATTTAGGAAAACATAATTGATAAGCAAAAATAATTGCTGTTTTTAAAAAAATTAGGTCTTCAATTTTGCTTTTCTTTTATTAATGGCTCTTAATGGGTAAATATTGTTAATTAAAAATGAAGAAGAGACCTTAATCAATTTTATTAAAACTTTAGAAATATTTTCATCTAAAGTTTACGGTACAACTTACATAACTCTTAAACTTGACTCAAGATGTACAAAATTCACATATAAGCAATCGCAATTAAATTATTTAGATTTTCATACTTAACTTGTATTAAACTTAAATTTATCAATATAATTTATTAAAAATTAAAATCACTAGTTAATAGTAATCAAATAATTATTGCATTGTAGTAATTATCTTATAAAAATACAATTCTTACAAAAGGTATCTTATCAATAGTTATTCGTTGTCTGAAAAATGACTTCTGCCATGCTAATTTCACAATTGTACTTAGAGTCCTTTAAAGGCATTGTAAAGTTTCCAATAAATGGTTGATTGATGTGATAAAGAGAATGTGTTTTTTTCTTTTGTTGTTTGGATTTGAATTTATTGAGAGACTGTAAAAAGGTAGTTTTTTTATAAATTTACTAATTGCTTGAACCGAAAAAGAATGTACTAAGTAAAATTCAAGAACCTTTTACCATTAAAAAGAAAAACAAAAGGCATTATCAAGCTTTTAAGAAAAGTGATTTCAAGCCTCAAAGCCAATAATCTAATTTCTTATTTTTCAGTATTTTTCTAACAAGAGATTTATAACAGTATAGATATTGGTTAATTGTAACATAATAATTAAAATGATAGCATATAAGAATTAATTTAGTATTGATGTTAAAAGTAATTTTTGCATTCAAAATCGTTTTAAACTCAATGTTAAATAATAAAAAAATTGACTTTTAATTTAAAATTTTGGTTTTCAAAAACAAACAAAAAATTTTCTTAATATATTTTTGCGGTGAAAAAGTACATTTGAGAAAGAAATCATTATATTATCCCAATATTTTTAATAAATTATTATATGTATATTTTTTAGATATTTTAATTCGTCACAATATTTTTTTATATAATATTAAATATTTAAAATTTTTAATCATATTTTTTTATTATACTTTTAAACGCACTTTTTTCAAATTCAAATTTTTTCTAACCATTACAACAATGCTAAATTAATTATAAGTCACTCAATCGTAATTCTTTTATTATATCCGATTAATACTATGAATTTTGTAAAATTCATCACAATTTTATATAAAATTCACATTATCTTTAAAATGGACGTTTATACAGTTTAATAATAACCGTTGAAAAATAGTAAGAAATGTAAAAACAAGGAATTGCAATCGGTTAGCACCCACCCCAAGAGGAGGACCCATTAAAAATGAAAGTTATAGGAAATAGGAAGGCCGATAAGGACATATACGAGCGGTCAAAGCCTGCTACAAGGGAAGGGCCTCTTCATTTTCATCTCAGACTAGGTCCACGTCTTGCAAGAACAGAAGTGGTGTTGCGATTGGGGCCTACAGGAGAATATGGAGGCTGGAGGGACACGTTTTCATGGTCAAATTGGATTGCTGAATCGGCTGTTGGCTTCCTTTGATGCTAACCGTGTCAAAATTTCATTTCTATTTTCTGGTGCCTGCCTACAAAACCAAAATCTTTTAACCGAACAAGGGACGAACAATCCCTACTGTCCCGCTTCTTATTTTAACACCGTTGGCATTTGGACAACACCCACGTGTATCAGCATAAAGAAGTGCAGGAACTCTGATCATTAAGATCAAGGAAATCCTAATCTATTGCAGTCTTATGGCTAATCAACTCTGCCATCTTTGATGGGATACAGCATTGACTAAATTTGGAGAATTAGCTATGTTCATTGCTAAAAATAAAAGTTGCAGCTTCTATCAATACGGTGGCAGATGTGTAAAACAGCCAACAGCTGGTTGATCTGTTTTGTTGATAGACTGTCGGGCTTTTAGTTCTAATAATTAGGATTCAATCTCTGGCAGCTTTAAGTTTAAATATATATATATATATATATATATGGTAACAGATGCAGTTACAACATGAGAATTGAGAGCAGAAAAACCGTTCTATGATGATGCAAACTAAAAGCATGCCAGTCCAATTCACAAGCCTATGGAGCAAGTGTATGGTTTTATACCATAGCAACCATAACAGGGCATGCAATTTAAGGTTCTGGTCAATAATTTTTTTCTTTCCAAATTATCGAGCATCCTCAACTATTGAAACACAAGAAGCACAAGTCACAAAAGAAAAGCTAAACATAAAAGAAAGCAACAAGAGTAACCTAATCTTAAGTAAATTCTTATTGCATGAGCTTAAAGCAAAAAGCAAATCCAGTAGCAAAGGTAAGGTGTCTGGGACACCTCAAAAATTTGAAAACAAGAAAATTCAAAGAAAAAATTTCCTCTGAACACTCCAAAATTTTCTTCTAGACACCCTTTCCAATGATAAAATTGAAAAATGCATCTTCAGTTATATATATATATTTATAAGTGGACATATCCAGAAAAAAATCCTGGATCTGCCACTGCTTAAAGCCCTAGAGCCTCGAATTGCTTTTGCTTAAGGCCCTGGAGGCTGGAATCACTATCTTACTATCATTTGTTCCTCATCCTCGTAAGGTTGTTTCATTATAATGCCAATGAGCACAATAACGGAAAGCAGCAGGAATGTAATTGTTCAGCATATCCTATCAAATGGTGCACTTTCAAGTTTAGCAATAGCGACACAGAATGAAAAGAAGATAACTATAATTCATTCAACATTGTAATAAGAAAATCAAGCTCATAGAAGAACCATTCACTTCTATATGGAATAAGGAGGCACTGGTCATCTTACTTTAAACAAGATTATTCAGCTTTAGAGAATGAAAAAATGAATGAAGATCATAATAAAACAAAAATTAACATTTCAAAACAACTGAACCTACACCAGAAAGTTACTGGGAAATTCAACATTTATATGAAATTCCCAATTTGCAAAGGTCTGGCACCACTCTTTACCACTAGTTATGGTCACAAAACTACCATAAGTCAGCAAGCAGAAACCTTGAGACTTTTTCTTACATCTTGTTGCAAACTCCCTTTACTATCTCTGCAGAAAGTCGATTATTAACATGTCAAGCTCACAAATTTAGATTCAATCATAATACAGAGATCTTAAATTAGAACAACAAGCTCAAAAGCAGCTGAGGAAAAAAACATAATTTGTTTGGTTGTTGAGAAATTTTCAGAAACAGAGAAAAACTGGTGGCAAGATTTTTTAAATTCACATTCGTCTCTCCTTGGTGATTGACTCTAATCTGTTAAAATTAAAAAGAAATGCAAACTCAAGATTCAAAACAGAACAAATTCAAATAAAAAAGAGAACAAAAAAAAAAAAAAGAAAGCAAATTTACCTTGCCGTTTTCAACGGACTCCGGAACCTTGTAAGAATCCACCGTCACCTCCGTCAGCCACAAACCAGGAAACAATGACTACAACCACAACCAAAAACCAACAACAAATGAATAATGAAAAACACCAAAACAATCGGAGAAGTATTACCGGAGAAGGAAAAAAATTTAAACGTACATCCAATTGCTTCTGAATATAACGTGCCCGTTTCTTTGGCCTCCTCAGAGGGCGATGCCCAGACATCACCATGAAATCCTCCTCGATCTCTTTCTTTAATAGCGGTACCGAGAATTTCGGTCGTGGCCTTTTGTTCTCCGCTGTTGCCGCCGACGCCACCGGCGGTCCTCTGTCTCTCACTCTGGATGACTTATTCACCTCATTCTTCATCGGAGAACTATAATTATTGTTTGTTACTTCTCCGTCAATCGGAACCTTGCACGTGGCACCCCTGGTCCTGAGATTCCACGGCCTCGCCTCCATCTCTACTGCGGGCAATTCTCTCCTCTCTTTCTCTTTAATTGCCTGTTTTTCTTTCACTTTCTGTTTAGGCTCTTCAAATTCATCCTCATCATCGTCGGACACTTCGTCTCTGAAAATTGCATCTTTGATCTTATCCGCCGCCGTTTTAAGATCATTCATGATCTTCTCCCTAACTGCCTCGATCCCCTCCGACGCCTCTCCCTTGGATATCCTCAATCGCCGCTCCCTTCCGTAATCGTTGCTCTCGTTGTTGCTCGGAGACGACTCCGATTCCCGCCGCCGCATTCCACTAGCCATCAAACTCTCAAATTTCGATGGGGGAGATCGGCGTCTCTGAAACATAGGACGAAGACGATGATTATGATCAACGGCAGAGGAGGATGAGTCGGTGGCGGCGGAAGCATCATCAAGTTTCATACACCTGAGATACCGCTGGTTGCCCCACTTCAAACATGGCAGCTTGAAATTGTGAAGAGGCTTTGATCTCTCAGGTCCCATCGCCATCTCTCTGTCACCAGAATATACCATTGATCGCATCCAAAACACAGCGCGAGCTCAAACTTTAAACCAAAAAAAAAAGAGATCTCTTTCTCTCAACTTCCTCTGAGAATATAATATCTTTTGCTTCTTCAACTTTCTTGAAGAAAAATTCTTTATTTTCTCGTTGGGATTGGGTTTCTTAATTGCAATGCCAATCGCCGGGAACGCTTTGAGAGTTTTTTTTTTTTTTTTCTTATAATATGGGAGTGAGGGTGGGAAGGGTGGGAGGGCGGTTTTAACGTTCGGGTTATGAGATTTTTGGAGGTGTTTTCGTAATTTCATTCCTCAGTGGAGCGCTTTCTGCTACAGTGCGCCGTTGTGTATAAGATTAGAGGATTTTCGGGTACACCGAGGTGATGTGTCGTTTTTGAGTTATGGTTGGCGTAACTACCGTTGGATAAAAAGCACGTTTTTTTTTTTTTTTATCTCTTCTTGTAGCCGTGGATTTTTTTAAAAAGGAAAAGCTGAAATTTTGATGAAATTGTAATATATTACGTTGTCACAAATGTAACAATTGCATGTTCTATTATTAAAATATTAAAATTTTTAGTTATAATGATTGGAGTATAATCTTAGTAATCATGTGTTAAAATAATATTTTTGAGTATTTATAAAAATTATTTAAAAAAAAAAGCAGCAAAAGTAGCATAAAGAAAAAAAGTATATATGTATATCTATAAAATAGAAATATTACTTGTGATAGGTTACAGGATAAAATGATTTTATTTAAATGTTTTTAATTTTAAAAATATTTATATTTTTTTGTGTTTTTTAGTTGATATAATTAATTAAAATTTTCAAAATTTTATTTTAATATAATGAAGTAGAAGGTAAAAGATTAAATAAGTATTTAAATATTTTATTTAATAATAAATATATGCATATACTTATCAAAGAGTCAATTTTTTATTTTCATTTTCAAAAATTAAATTAAAAGGAGTTAAACATAAATATCATTTTCATTAATTATATATATATATTTCTGTTGCAAATGAGGGTTTGTCTCTTTACAAGAGAGGAAGGAGATGACGAAGTCGAATTCGTGCCTACATGACTTTCAATTCGTCTCTTAACCATTAGATTAAGAAGAAAAAATCATTTTCATTAATTATATTATTTTTTATACAAGAAATATATTACAAATAAAATAAAAATATTTCAAATACATTATTTGATCTTAATTAAGCATATTAGCTTTATGTTTTCGTTTTTATTATAAAATAATATAAATAAAGTATTTTATTATACTTTTAAAATTAGCTTTTAACCTAATATAAAAATCACATGTGGAGTTGTTGATGAAATATAATTGGACTTGATCCGAATCAAGTGGGTTGCAGGCCACAAAAGCATGTTTGGATTGAATGTGGATGCGGGTCAGGTTGCTGAGTGTGTCATTTGCTTCCATCCTTTAGCTACCAAAACGATGGTATTTTAATCTTGGATAAAACTCTAGAATTGAGCAAGCTTCTTTTATTGTTCACCTTCTGTTTCTCTATCAGCATCAAATTCCTTTCCCTTCTCTTTACTATTTATTTCTTCCAATAATATTGGTATCTACGAACCCAGAAACCACTTTTGTCTGCAGTCGGCTTCGGTCACCAAAATCGAAGAGAAAACCTTTATCAAAATCCTCCTAGCCTCCTCATTCCTTCTTTTTTTTTAATTAGATCTTTTGAAAATTTTCATCACAAATTGAGGATAATAATAAATCAAGTCAAGATGAATTTTTATCTGTTTGATGTGGACTTAAGTCCTAATAAATTATATCTAATTCTGACTTGATCGATATTGAATTGTCATTTTTATTTTTGATTTCAATTCAATACATATGTGTAATCCATATTTGATTTAAAATTAATTTAATGATTATAATTTAATATTATATTAATAAATAGTATTTTTTAAAAATAAATTATACCTTAGTTTTATATAAAATAATATTTTTATTAAATTAATATTTTAAATAAAAATATTAAATAATAATTTTGGTAATACATATGTAAATATAAATATAAAATTAAATAAATAATTAAAAAATATAATTTTATATGACAAATTGGAGTAGAGTGCCTCGAAATTCACTTGCCTCAATTTTTTTAAAAAATACCCAAACTGAACCTCGATTTAAAAAAAAAATTATTATTTTATTGGATCAAATATGTCTAAACTAATAAGAATTGTTTTGTCGTTTCTAAAAAATTAAGATCTCAATTTTTATTTTCAAAATTTCACCAACTCTTTTCTCTGATTTCACCGTCAGTAAATCCTCTGGTTCTAAACATTGCTTCCTGCCATTCTTCTCTCTCTAACCAACAAATATCAAGTCCCCGTAAATCTCAAATCAGAAACCTGAAAGCCCCTTTTTGGTCTTCTTCCGATTCCCTTTAGTTGGCAATACAATAGTGGTAATTTTTTGCTACGTTATGTCCGAAATTTCCAGATTAATTCAGAAAGAAAAGATTTAGAAACAGGTTGCACAAAACAAAGGCAACTAAATCAGTAGAAAAGATAGATTTTAAATTCTCTAATTTCAAAGCAGTTCAGGTTATTCATAGTATCGTATTCTTCTTTTTCTTTCTTCCTTTATTTCATTTTACACACTGTCTGTGTTTTTAGTGTTTTGATGGGCAGCAAAAGGATGGGGCAGGTTATTTATGTCCATAATCTCTTTGGAGAACGAGAAAACCATTGCAAAGACAAACAAAGCAGTAGTTCCAAATGGGACTTCTCAATGGACACTGTCTATATATATATTTGGGTTTCACGAAAAAAGCTTCCAAAGAGATGGAGGATTGTCTCTTTAAGCCTGTTATTGCTATGGTAATGCTTTTAAAATGTTGATTTTCGTTTACAGGATCAGTTTTTGAGTTCCATGATTGAAATTTGAACATCGATCTTTCTTATTTTTGCTTGTAATTTGTTAGGGGTATTTTAGATCTATAGGGCAGTATAGTTATTTTTCCTCATTAAATATAGTAAATAGATAATTAGAGGTAATTTTGATTTTTTAATCAAAGTTAACGTGTTAAGTCTATCTGAATCTACATAATCATATTAGTTCGATCATCTCATCATATTACCTATTAGATTCTTTTAAATGCTAACTTGTTATTTTCTGATTGAATGGTTATGGCTCAACTCGGTTTAACATATCATTTTTAACCTTGGAGCTAATCTCGGACAACTTAGGCTGTCCAATGTCTATTATCTCACTGGTATAAATAGTATCATGTAGGTATCATTTTATATCTAACTTTTTATATATTTTCTTACATTTTTTTTCTATATGTTCCTTGATCAATCTCTTACTTAAACGTCGGAACACAAATATTAGAATAAGTCTAGCTTTTGTTTTTAAAAGCTTTATTCCTTTTTTATCTGGTTTTAGGACTTTACGTCTAAAAAAGAAGCTTGGCACCAACATAATTTATTATTTATATTTTACTTTTAAATAATTACAGTATATGTTTTAGTTTAATTTTATTTACTAAGGAACAAAATGTTTATTTTGCGACTTCAACAAATGTCCAGCCATAAATCTTTTAGGAAGAGTTTTGATATATAGTATATAGATTTGTTTTCTATGCATCCTTTGATTTTTGAATTCTACAGGCGGTGTAAGAATATTGTCACATATTTGATTACTTTTTATATAAATTTATTAAATTTTAAATATACTCTAATGAAATATATGATAACTTTTTAATCCATTAATAGAATTTTTACATTCCACTAATAGTAAATTATATATATATATATATATGTATGTATGTATGTATGTATAGGGCTAGGAAAAACATATGGGTTTTGTGTGATAAAACAAAGACTAAAATATGAAAAAAACCATTCTAAGTTTTCAAATAAATTTAACTAATTTCTTATATTATTATTGCATCTAAATAAGTCATTCAACTCTTATTTTTCATTATCTATGCCCTTATACTATTATTGCATCTAAATAACTCCTAAACTTTTATTTTTAATTATCTATGCTTTTATACTATTATTACATCTAAATAAGTTCATAAACTCTTATTTTTCATTATCTAAGCTCTACTATAGTTAAATTAATGATATGTTAGCATATTTTAAGTTACGTAAACACAATGATATGATAAAAAGAAATTGCATATGTGACAAAAAATGTGTAAAAAAGTGAAATTTTTGAAAAGGGTCTAATAAAAATTTTTATTAATTGATATCATGAAAATAATAATTATTAAAACTGAAATAAAAATATATAAAATAAATAAAAAAGGAAATGCCTATATTTATATGAAAATTAATAAAAAAGATTAATTATTTGATACCATGATGAAAAATAATTAGTGAAAAGAAAATATGTATATGTAAAATTATTATTTATTATATGTAAAATTAATAAAAAAATCTACATTTATATGGAAATTAATAAAAAAATAATTATTGATACCATGATAATAAATAATTAATGAAAAAAGTCTATATGTAAAATTAATAAAAATATGTATATTTATATGAAAAATACAAGTGATTCTAATTTTCTTTTTATTAATTTTCATATAAATATAGATATTTTTATTTTTTATTAATTACAATAGCTTAGATAATGAAAAATAAGAGTTATAGTGCTTATTTAGATACAATAATAGTATAAGGGTTTAGAAAAGGGAAATAAGAGTTGAGAGACTTATTTAGATGTAATAATGTGATAAGAGTTTAGTTACATTTTTTTGAATACTTAAAGGATTTTTTTTTTTTAATATTTTGGCTCAAAATGCAAATGGGAAAATAAACAAATGGGATTGTATTGTTAATTAATTTGTTAGAGGAAAAAATTTTTAATTTACTTCTTTAGATTAGGTTTATAAAATTTTGAAAAGAATAAAATAAAAATTATATTATATATGTATCATAAAGTTAATGCTATTACTACTTATTTATTTCTTTTTGTAGAAAATAACTATTTACATTTTGTTGGTACAAAGAAGACCGCTGTCTGGAGATAGCAAAAATAATTGCAAGTTTTAAGATTTTAATATTAGATTTATTAAATATTGTCTCGTAGAGTATCTATAAAACAAGTGGGGCTAAACTTCAAATTCACTATTTACTTTCCTTAAAAAGGTAAAGATTATATGTTTGACAACCAAAGAGAAAACATTTTTATCTAAATAAAAAATAATTTTAATTTTGTAGATAGTAGTAT